AGATAAATTTCAAAATTATGAGTAAAAATTTGACAAAAAAACAAGATGTGCCTCATAAATATACCACCTAAAATTCCTAATAAAGGCTCTTTAAATGACCCTGCCAAAAAGATTGAAAATTTGAATTGTATTGTCATTCCATATATAAATGTTTTTAATTGCTTAAACGTTTATAATAAATAGCTTACTTGTTATTTATTGTATTCTTCTTAAAAAGGAATGTATGAATAAATTACCTACAATATGTACAAAAACTTAATTTATTAAACTTATGTATTATATATTATGTTCATATATGTTTCTATTATTAATACGAATTTAACAAAAGCTAATAGATGTATTTAAAATACAATTCCTTCAAAATATGTAAATCGTTTGTTTTTTTTTTGTAATTACGTTAGATTTGCAAAATCTATTCTAACTCCACAAAAGTAAATGGCTGGACTATACCTATACAGTAAATTGTCAATGTCAATAAATAAATCTTTTTAAAAGACTCCATTAACTGTAATATAATAGAAAATTGATAAATTAAGAAAACGACAAAACTTATTTTTAACCGACTTCAAAAAAGGAGGAGGTTATCAATTCGTCGCGATATTTTTTTTTATGTATGTTCAGCGATTATTCTTTAACACGGTGTCCGATTTCAATAATTCTTTTTTTGTTAGAAAGGAGCTACTGTAGGGGTGATCCCATATAAATTTTGTCAAAATCTAATAATTGGATCCATGAGAAAATCCTCAAACTCTTTAATTTTTATGTATGTTTAGCGATAATGCTTTACCACCTTGTCCGATTTATACGATTCTTTTTTTGTTAGTAAGGGGGTACCTCAGGGGTGGTCCCATATAAATTTGGTTAAGATGTGGCATCTGCACGTTTTTGAAGTCGGTTTTTTTTAATTTTTAATTTGTAATACTTGTTATTTGAATTCATTATAAATATATAACACTGTTTCAAAAAATATTTGCCGGCTTTATAATATTATTTAGTTCTTGTCCATTGGTGCTGATGACATTGGACTGGACATGTTACTTTACTGCTGTCCGTTTGTAATAAAATATTTAACTCACCTCATTAACAGTTCTATCAGTACCGCAATTTTTCCATCACAATGGAAAGTTGCGCAAGTAATTCCATTGGCCAAAATAAAAAATCCAAATGAATTTAAAGATATCAGGCCTATAAGTATTCTTTGCACAGCTTCTAAAGTTATGGAAAAAGTTATTTATCAACAAATAAAAACCATCCTAGATTATTATAATATTATTTCTATTAATCAATCTGGTTTTCGCCCCAATCACAGTTGCAACACTGCCCTACTCTCAGTCATTGACGATATTATTAGAGCTATTGACCAAAATCACCTTACAGTTTTAGTATTATTAGACTATAGCAAGGCGTTTGACAGAATAAATCATGCAATGCTAATAGGGCTATTACACCACCTAGGTTTTAATGAAAATGCGAAATGTCTTATAGATTACTATCTTAAAAATAGAATGCAGTATGTTAAATATAAAGATAAATTATCTTCTTCACTAGAAATAGAAAATGGAGTCCCTCAAGGATCTATTTTGGGGCCTTTATTGTTTTGCATCTATACATCTTTATTCCCAGATTCACTGAAGTATTGCAATTTTCATCAATATGCGGATGATACTCAGATTTACCTTTCATTCCCTGCTTGTAAATTTGAAGAAAGCATAGCCAAAGTAAATTCTGATTTAAATTCACTTTTTAAATTATCTAATGACTATTGCTTAGATATAAATCCCTCTAAATCTCATGTTATGCTGTTTGGCAGGAAAAAAGATAGAATTAATTACAACTTAAAATTAAAGTTAACAATGAAATATTGCCTAATACACATATCGCAAAAAACTTGGGTGTATTCCTTGATACTGATCTTAGATTTGAAAAACACATTAATAATATAATAAAAAAATGTGTAACGAATATAAAAATTATTTACGGCAATAAAGACACCCTGGATCATCGTTCTAAAATCTTATTATGTGAATCGCTTGTATTTTCTCACTTGAACTTTTGTGATTCAGTCTATGGACCATGCATTACTCAATTCAATAACCAGCGTCTTCAGCGCATTCAAAATACCTGCATTAGATTAATTTATAAATTAAAAAAAAATCAACGGGTTTCTCGTAAAAGGAGTGAACTAAAATGGCTGACAGTAAGTCAAGCTCGTTTTTTTGCATTCCTGCTGCCTATTTCAAAAAATTTTACTATTTAAAACGCCGTCATATTTACATAACAAGATAAGGTTCAGAAGCGATGTTCATAATCTTAATATCCGTAGAAGAAATTTTGTATCAATCCCGCAATACAAGACTAAGATGTTTGAAAGCTCTTTTACTTACATATTTTATAAAACAATCAATTCTCTCCCCCCTGAACTTAAAAACTTATCTGTAAGTACATTAAAGCGTAAAATAAAATGTTATATATTAAATGGTGACATGGAAGTATCGTTTAAAATTTAAGATTTATCAAAAATATTTTCATTGATGCTTCGCATCAATTAATAATTATTGTAGTATTATTATTATTGTTAGATAGGTACTATAATTAGATATTGGTGTTAGTTATTATTATTTAATTAATAATTTTGTTTGTCTCTTTTTTGTGGGATTTACTATTATAATCTTTGTTATAATTCTTTTTTTTTTTTGTGCTTTTTACATCAGGATATATTGAAAACCATCTTCTTTCATCTTGTATGATTGACGATGAATATGTCCTTTTCAGTAAGTTCATATTTTGGTAGGTTTCTATTGTATTATTCATTTTCCTTTTTCATTATTATTATATTCTTGATATCCGCTACATTATAATGCTGTTATGTTTTATACCATTGGCTTACTGAATAAACGTTATTATTATTATTATTATTATTATCAAAAATAAACTTCTAATAAATAGTTGAACTATTTCAAAATTTGGAGATTCCACACAAAAAAACCCATTATGTTTCTTAGAACACAACATTTGCAGTTGGATATAAATCTTTTCACTTATATTATTTATAAAAAGCACATATTTAATTTTTTAATTCAAAGAAGAATCGACACCCTAAAATCATTAGAACTTTAAAACTTTTGACAACAGTGGCCTTTTCTAATAACACAATGTTGATGTGATGGAATGTTATTCACTTCAATGGTGTTTAGACGCCACAACAAGAAAGCAACACTATGTCTGCACCCATCTTAAAAAAATAGAACCATATAAAATCATTTAATACTTTATTTTGAGCTTCTTAATATTAACAGAAATTGAATTACCTTCGAAAGCAAAGTGTTCTGTAAATTTACAAGATATGACCTTTTTCTTTTGTTTATTTAGTACTGAATAACGCTATTAACTTTTTGTTTTTTGGTGTAATTCTAGCTTTAATGGCAACCGAACATGAGTCGTATAGATGCAAATCCCGCCAAGTCACTTTTAAGCGCTTTTGAGATAATCAAGAAAAACCCCCAGAAAGTAAATTAAATTATTTTTAATGTTACTTGTATTTTTATAATAGGCTAAGATAGTTTCTTAGCATAATAAAGTACTTTTAAGAAATCTAGACGCGTTAGGTGCATTCATATCTAATATCTAAAAAATGACTTGGCATATTTTGCACCTCAAATGTATGAAATTTGTTAATAACACGTTTTGTATAGTATTTTATTTTTAATATAGGTAACAGAAACAATAATTAAAAACAAAATAACATTGAAAAGTGTCTTAAAACGTAAGAAAAACTCTAATTTATAAAAAAACAGAATAATATATTCATCTAAATTCTTAAATCAATGCCTGTTTCAAGACCATCATTATTTTGGTAGCAAACAGCATCAATAGCGTCTTCTGGGGTCATTTGAAGAGGACGTACTGGATCTTGATCAATTATTACTTCTTTATAGAAATTTAAATTTGACAACTCTCTCCGTTCAGCTCCATAATCCTTACTCCACAAATTCGCTGCTTTCTGAGGATCCACAGGTCTTCCCACTCGCGAAACATCAGGATTCATCTATACTGTCTGTTCGCTATACTTACGCGGGTTTCGGATTAACAAAATTATGCAAATTAGTCATTGACAACCAGTTCCAATAAGTCTCTTCCCAAGAAATTAGGTAAAATTGCCCTAATGGTTAGATTTAAATTAAAATAACATTAGTATAGGTACTAAATTTGTTACAAATATTGCAAATATTAATCCGAAACCCGCGTCAAGTATAGCGAACAGACTGTACTAATAATTTATCACGTTAAATAAGGCTTTTTGAAACTCCACAATCGTTTCTATAATATACAGTTAAACTGAAAATGTCATTTCGTTGGAAGTTTAAGCACCGTCGTAGTTACTTCCTTCCAGTTGAAAGCATCCCAGTCTTTTCCTGAAACCTGAACACTGACAAATTCTTTAATTATTTTAAAATATTCTTCTGGATTTGCAATTGCAGGGTATTTTTTTACTTTTCGTTCAATTAGCCCAAATACACGATCAGGAGGCATTTAAGAATTTTTGACAATAGAGAAAATAAATTCAATTTTAGAGATGTGATTTAGAGCCACTCTATAAAGCCACGCAATGAGCATTCCAATAACAATTGAGTTTCTGTTCTGACCAGCGCACCCATCAGCAAAAAGACGAACAGTGGTAATACCTTCAGAAAAAGTGTATTTGAAAGACAATTAAAGAGGGCTGAGGCTATGACACTAGAGGTTTTTGGTAATTGTTGATCTGTCCACAGATATGAAGATACATTTTCTGGTTTTAACCTTGTATTTGATGTCCCCTTTACGACTGTAACATTATATACATTAAATTGCTGTGAAAAATAAGCCAATTGATCAGCTAGTTTTGGTAGAGCCAGATTTTTCTGACAATCGAATGAGAAACACTGAATGTTATTATGTTCTGTTTTAAGATACTAGTAAAAAGTCTGTGCCTTCAGCTTGTGCACTCTATTCGCTACCATAATTTAATTTCCAAGGTTTTGATTTGCTTCAGTCTTCAGTTTTTCTTTCGGTTTTAAACATTCTAAGCACATATTTGTAAGAGGTGTTCCGAAGTCTATGTTGTAGTTAATGTTAACATTATTTCTAAAGAAACATTCTTTCACTCTTAAATGCTCATCCACTAATTCATTGTACCTTTTATGAAGTTTTCGGATATTTAGCTCACAAGGCAAGTACCTTCTTGCCATTGTTCTACTTCGACAATAATGAGTTTCGGTACAAGTCAAGCTCTCTATAAATGTTGATATTGAATTATTGGTATTTTTATTTTTTATTCTGTCGCAACCGCGACCTTCTTTTGGAGGAGACCACGTCGTCATAAATCGTTTCATTACTCCCTGGACCCTCTCCTTTTTTATACGCAAGATACTTAAAAAACGAATACGACAAACTTTCCCTCCTTTTCCATCAAATTTCCGAATGCTATACTTAATTGTAAGCGATTTCTTTCCGCGAGTATTATCTCTAATCCTGGACTTCTTTGGTTCGTCAACGCTGCAATACTTATATATTAATGTATTTTGGTATAGTTTTTCTTTTCTTCTGTACAATAAGTCATGAAACGCTTTTATATCTCACATTTTTAAAGCCTTATATTCTAAGTAATTTTGATGTTTGCAGTCTGGAATTTCTGGGAGGTCATTTGCCCCATATCTGCCAAAAAATACAATGCACTCTTCTTAATCTGTTAAAATAACATGAAAAAAAATTACAAGGAATTCTTCCGTAGTTGTCTCTTATGGGTTTCTGGTTGCTTCTGTTTTTTTCTGCTTTTATTTGGAGGTGCTTTTGTCAATTGTCTTTTTTATACCGAATGATAGTTGTTGAATTTTAGCCAAATAAAAATCCTGGCGAAATTAATAAATTCATTCTAGGTAATGAGACGTGATAGACCCATTTTTAATGGGTGATTTCGAATCATCCAAGTGTCTTACACTTACAATTAACGTATGTACTTTTTACTCTGAAACACCCTGTATATATCAGTAAACCAAAAAATCTACTTTCATTATTCGACTTCTGTTTGGAATTAATAGGGATAGGGTCGCAACTGTCTCACTTAAATTTTATCATTATTAAAAAAATCAAGAAAGGGTCTCAAATGTATCGAGGGTTCAAATGTAACGGGGGCGCATCTGTCCCGACACCAGAACCCTGTAACTTTAATAAATTGTGTACTAAATTTGCTTCAACAGAGACAGAAACGAGTGAGGAGGAAGGTCCATATAAACCTTAATATACGGATTATACTTATACACTTGAGCCTCGAATTTATATTTTATATATTTGGTTTATTAACCCCCGGGATAAGACTTTTGTGTAGCCATGTCAAGAGTGTGGTGGTTATTTTTTTCACTTAACTTGGACAGTCAGAAGACCCTCTCTTGGTGTTAAAGATTCAAAACATTCCCAGGAACTCTTATGGATATCATCAGTATCTTGAATACTTTCCTTTTTTTTAATTTTGTTCTACTTCTTGGTTTGCTTGGGTTTTATATACCTTCTGTTTTTTTACTCTATTTCTATAAACTTTTAATTATTTTATTTGCCATAACTACGAAAATCCTTTAAAACTATTTATTCAAAGAACGTTACACACGCATGTTTTCCTTCTATCGTGCACTATTCACTTGCACAAAAACTTTCAACGAGCTTGAAATAATTGAAATAAATTTATAATTTATATAGTGCTTTCTCCAACTTGTTTAGACGCGTAAACGATTCTTGCAGCAACCACTTTCTGGATTTTTTCGATTTTCTGAGAGAGAACTCCTATGACAGTCTAAGACAGTGTTTACACTACGTAAATTATGTGTAAGTACTTTCAGACATAAATTTGCGATAGTTTTTCCAGCTTGTGTAAACTGCTCTTTAGGCTACCTGGTCGCTCTGCATCCTTAGTGCTTATACGGTCACTATTAAAATCGTTTAAAGACGTATTTTGTATTGTAGGTATAATTCGGATATAAAATTGGAGGCGTGACAGAACACTCTCCAATTGCGTCATACCCATACACAAAATTAGGTCACTTTCAATTATAGTACAAACTAAATTTTACCAAAAACAAGAGTTTACTTTTTAATCAATAATATTTTCAAGTTCAGTTATTCCTTTTTTTATATTAGTGATAAAATATTTGCATGTTTTTTTTTTTGATAAAGAAACTAAAAATAATAAGGTCGTGATTGTCAGTTCATTCTAAAAACAAAAAATATCACACATATGCATAAACAGAATAAAAAACATTTTTATTTACTACTAATAAACAACATTCTTATTTACTATCTACTTACAAAGTTGTACGTGGTCATAGTGCGTTTTCGTTGCAAGTAATGTTAATTTTGAAATAAAATAAGTCGAGTAGATATGTATGTTGGCTTTTAAGATTTTTACTGATTTTGTTTTTGTTTGATTCTCATCTGACTCAAAAAAGTGGCGCATAGTATTTTATGTTTTTTATATGTAGTTGGGTCACTGAATACACTGAAGTGTAACTCTCCAGAAATTATATAAGAACGTGGTGGCAAATTTCGGTGACCTTCAGCCATCGAATTGGGTTCCTTTCGATAACCGGCTTAGCACAAATGGACTAGTCAGAGTCGGTTTTGTTTTATTTTAGATTTATATGAGAGAAGAAATATATTAAATTGGACTTCGATATTTTGATTGATTTTTTACTCTAAAGGTTCCCGAGTTCGAAATTGTTTTTTGTAAATGAATGAGAAAACGGCTCTACGGATTTTTTTTAAATTTATCAAAAATAATTTTAATTTTTTACTTTCCAGTTATCAGTAAAGAAAGTAGAGGAATCATTCGTCTGATCATTACGTGTTGGAGTCCTCCGAATCCGTTTTGACAATTTTCGCGGTAATGTTTTGGATAAAGAAAAATATGCCACATTTTAAATATAAATTTTAATCCACTTTGGAAAGAGCTAATTCGATTTTGGGCATAGTTGGTTATGGGGGTGGTACTTTATAAATGCTCGATTTTTTTACTTTAAGTTATATTTCTGTTATTTGGAGAAAATCATCGAATTAAAGTTGTTTGTGATGTATTTCTCTATCATTTTTGTTACATGCATATCTTTAAAATGAAATCGGGAAATACGAGGAAAAGTACAAAATTATAATTTTCTCAATATTTTTTTTGACAATAAAGATATTAAAAAATGTTTTGAATAAAGTATTTATAGAAAATGCACTTTTAATTCATTTTCTAAACACTTGATTGTGTAGGACACATTAGATATATAAGGCTGGAGGTTACAAAATAATAAATATTTTACGCCATGGTTACATTTGAATTGGAATTATTTTCTATTTTTAATAAATAAACGTTTTATTACATACGACTTGGTGTGTTCATCTTCTTGATCATAAAACATTGGAGCAAAATAAGTGTTAAATAAAACAATTCATATTAAAGAAAATACATTTAATAATACGCTTTCTATTAATGTTTCCAAATAAGCAATTTTGCTTTTTTCTTACGTGAACATACACTTGTTTTAAAATTTCGGTTTGTATTAATTTAATTAATGCATAATAGATTCGTAATCTACCATATAAATTATTTAAATAGGTATAGAAAAAGTGTTTACATGGGTGAACAAACATAACTGTTTTAAATTTAATTAATTGTTTAAGCAAGTTTGTCTGAAAAGATATTGCTTTAAAATTTTAAAATTGTCCATAAAGATATTTTCCAATGTAGAAACAAAATGAACAAAACTGTTATTGGCGTGTTCAAATGCCCAAAGTTGTCCAAATTTTCGGTATCAGAAGCTTTAAAAAACAAAACCAAGTTGTTTCATCTACCACTTTTTGTTAAATGGCATACTTTTTACAAGTGTCACAAGAGTGAACTTTTAGACACCTCTAGACAAGATACCCGCATATATGCTTAACAAAATTTTTTTCCAGTAAGTTACATGTTTGATAATAGGTATCGACAAAAGGCACTACAGGTGCATTGGCAAGTGGATAAGCAGTTTGTTCCTCTTCTTCTTCAGGTAAGTCAACAATTTTTAATAACATACTGTCTGTATCTTCTTCACAATTTTCTGCTCCCGAATTAATTAAATTTAAACAAAATAATTTTCTAAAACTTATAAATTGGATAGAAATAAATTATGAAAGAAAAATAAGTTCTTCGACTTAATTTTTATTCCTACACAATAACCAATATAATAACTATGATGATACATTTTTCGCCTTTTCAGCGATTTCAGGTGGTATGCATGAAAACTCTTCGTCGCTCGATATTTTGTTAAAAATAAGTGATAGATAACTATACATAGTGGCCCAAAAGTCTGGAAACGGCCAATTATCTCGTAAATTGCTAGTCCTAATTTTACAAAATTTAGGGTACACCTATTTTTGGATACGGAGATTCCAGATTTGATATTTGCAATGTTGCCAGATTTGCCGTTTCTCTTATATTATTAGTCACTTTGGTTTTTCAAATTCATCACTCTGTATATTCAGTCATTATTGGAATCTCCTATTCAATACGAGTTCAACCATATGTAACACTTATGATTTTATGTAGTCTGGAAGGTCTTAAATTGGGTCCTTTTGTAACACCATCAAGCTTTTGTAACAAATGCCTAAGTAAAAGTTCATTAGCATGTAAAAGACAAATGCTCCATTGCAGTGGTTTGTTCAGTTGAGTTTCAACTAATCGTATGACGCCTCCTTTCCAACCTGTGTTCACGTTTGTACCATCGCACCCAATCACAGTTAAATTTGTCGTGTCGATGTTTTTTTCCTTTATTAAAAACAATATACCTTTCGATATGTCAGTTGCTTTTACCGGTGGCACTAAAGATACATGTCCGAGGTATTTGCTTTCGGGTTCTTCAATCAATGCAATATGCTCCTCCGCTACCACTATTCGACGTCCTTCTTGCTGAGACATGGTCTGGTCCTTGCGCCCATCAAAATAAATGCCCTCAATACTCTTCAATCCGGATAATTGCCCCTCTCTTATTTGGTTTCTGTTCTTCTTAACTTCTCTTCGTATTTTGTTCTTATCTATAACCCTGCCTTGTTCATCAGCTGATACTAAGCTCATATCTTCTAAAACGGCTGTCGCAATTTTTGCTACATTTCTGCTTGACATACCAGTCAAATCAGCAGCTTTAGCTGTATTCTCTAGTGAAATTCTCATTTGACTAGCACTCTTTTGTTTTTGTTCGGTTTTTTGTCTCTTTTCCAGAAGGTAAGTCCATTCAAAATCAGTATCATTATGATTTGTATTAATTACATCGCTATCGGTGTCCGTGTCCGTATCTGACAAACATATTAACGTAGATTCCGGTGTACTGGAATAGCTTCTACTGGATTTACTAGAACAAAATCCGCTGGTACTTGCGATTGGTTCATATGTACCTATACCTTAGACAGGACGCTTATTATCTTTTTCTTTTCTTTCAATTTGTTTTGCAAGTTTATTTGTAGCTTTTTTTGTCTAGTGGACCAATGCGCATTTTACGCTTACTTCTTTGGTCACTTATAAAAGGCCATTTTGCTTCCGGTATCTTTTTTTCTTTATTACACTTGCAAAGTAATAGACTAGAGCACTTGCACGAACAAATATCAAACAGTTTTTGCGCTTCACACTTAAATTTGTCCAACTTTGCTTTAAAAGAATTGGAGTCCCGATTTTTAATGGGCTTTGTTATGTTTCTATACTTACTGTTATATGTTAAAATCATATCTACTATACGTTTGTGGCTCACAGTTGGTAGAGATGCTCGTTGCCAAATAACTGAAACTTTCTGTGTCACAATATTTGCAATTTCATTTGAAGCAGGTTCTTTACTTCCGTCGCCTTTCAAGTGTAGTCGAAAACTTTTAAAGCATTTAATAATTTCTTCATATGTAGGAAGCAGTTGTCTTTGTTCCTCATTTAAATCTTCAGCTTTTTCAAACAAATAAAGCTTATCACTAACACGTGTCTTAATCAATGTTTTTCTAGACATAATTACAGCCTTATTGCACTTATAATTAAAAGTTAAACACAGTCCAACAAGAGCAAACGTAACTAAAACTTAGAATTAGCGATATTCGTAACTTCACATAAAAAACGCGTACCGTACAACACGGAAGCTATCAACGAACTGGTGCTGGGCAGTCGGTTTCCAATTAGCTCGACGCAGTCGTGTCACAACTTGTCGTGTCGCCTACCTGCTCTCAGGGTCATAAGAGTGCAAAGGTAACATCGTAGTATCAGTGAAGTAGAATATTTGTATTTTTTTATTTATTTATTTACGGGGGCGCGGCTAAAACTCAAAATATAACGTCCAGTTTTTTTTACGCAATATGGAGATGATTAAATTGTTTTTATTAGCTACCCTGGATAAAATTAAATATAAATAAAAAACAACCTTTTTCACCCCCCCGGGGCACGGCTAGATTTTATTTTAAAATTGTAATTTTTTGTGAGGGTTATCAGATACACCTAACACAACTTTTTTTTACTACCCCTTAAAGAAATTTAAAAAAAAGTTTTTTCGGCCCACCCTATTGTGCAATAAATAACTATTATTTTCTTTTTGCCGATAATATATCATAGGTTAACGGTCAACGGTAACAAATTTAACTGTGATTACACAATTTATTGCGGATGTATTAGATGACCAAGGACAGGTGGATGTGATATATACCGATTTCTCGAAGGCATTTGATAGAGTTAAGCATAGCTTCTTAATTTCAAAACTTTCAAAGACTGGTTTTTCTAACAGCACTTTAGCTTTATTTAAGTCATATTTATCAAATAGGACACAATTCGTTACTTACAATGGATTTAAATCAGAATCAATTGCGGTTACATCTGGAGTACCACAGGGTTCAAATCTTGGACCTTTACTTTTTTTAATATTTATTAATGATTTATACAATGAAATTAGTTGTAATAAATTGTGTTTTGCGGATGATTTAAAGATTTTCTTAAGTATTAAAAATACAGATCACTGCAATGAGCTCCAGAGAAATTTGAACTGTATTAATAACTGGTGTAAGACAAATATGTTACACCTAAATGCTCAAAAATGTAAGATAGTTACTTACTCTAGGAAAAGAGAAAATATTCAATTATCATATTCGATTGGAGATAATGAGTTGGAGAGATGCTCTACTATTAGGGACTTAGGTGTAATTTTTGATGCTAAATTAACCTTCTCAAATCATATTCAAGTTAAAGTTTCCGAAGCTTTTAGAATGTATGGATTCATTATTAGAAACTGCAGGCAATTTTCAAATATAGCACCCCTTAAATTATTATTTAGTACCCACGTGCGTTCTAAGCTGGAATATTGTAGTCTGATCTGGAACCCTTATTACAACTGCTACGTTCTGGATATAGAACGGGTTCAAAGAAAATTTTTAAAATACCTAGTTTTCAAAATTGATGGAGTATATCCCGAACGTGGTTGTGATTATACGGAGTTGTGTAAACAATTTGATATTAATAGCCTGAGCCTAAGAAGGAACACATCCTCGCTTATTTTTCTATTTAAACTCATGCACAATTTTATTGATTGTAGCGATATTTTGTCACAAATTAAATTTAATATACCCCGTCTAAATTCTAGAACCAACAAGCTATTCGAATGCCCTAGGGCAAAAACCAACTTGATGTTAAAATCACCCTTATATGTAATGTGTAACAATTACAATAAAATTAGTAGTCATTGCGATATTTTTCATTGTTCTCTTGGTGAACTAATTAAAAATGCAGTTACTTTCCTTAACGAAATATTGTAATAAGTATATTGTATTATATTGAATTCTCCCTGTGTTATTTTTGTAAGAATTTTTTTTTTTTTAATATATTCTTGGCTTGTTCACAATATTCATTTGTTTTCTATTATAGTTTTTATTTTGCAACTTTTAATTAGTTTTCGTGTAAATATATGTTACATCACAACCCATAAGTAGAATTTACTTTTGTAATTTATTAATTTTATTTTTAGATACCACTTTATTATTGTTACTTACTATTAAGAATATTGTCCTGTAAATGGGAAACTGTTGGGCAATAAAGCTATTATTATTATTATTATTATTATTATTATTATTATTATAGGTTTGAAGCGTTCTTGTTATTTATGTGGACTTTCAGGTATTTAAAATGTCTACTTTGTCAATTTTTTTATTCTTTATGTCAGTGTTACCTAATTGTTTTTTTCTTATTTGCACTCTTGATCATTAAATCGCCTGTCGGCAAGAATAGTGACACAACTTGAAATCACCATATTTTACAGGAAAGGAAATATAAACTAACCACATGTTAAAACATTAAAATGATTAATTGATTAAGAAGAAAAAATCCAAAACCTTTTTAAATAAATCTTTTATTGTAGGTTCCTTATTTTGAAAATAATGTTACTTCCTCAAAGATAATAAAAACGTGTTTTGTTTTGAGTTGTGACGTTTTTCCTGACCGAATAACATAAATTTTTATTTAGAAGTGTCATTTATGTAACTTATTTATAGTACAATAAATTGTCAAAATCTTCAAAAATAACTCAAAATTTTATTGGGAATGCTGTAAATGAATTCACTAAGGACTATCTTCCTTACAATAATCGTTAACTTTTTTTTTGTATGCTTTATCTAGTTTGATTTTCTTGGCCTGTCCGTTTCTATTTCGTTTAACACAGTGTTGAAGTTTTTTTGACTGTAGGAGTACTTAAAGTAAATGGGCATTCTTTTTCATACTAAATTATTTTCATCTGGCTTAGCTGAACAACATTTCCATCGGTGTCCTTTGAAAATGTCCCAATACTATTACTTAACTTCTTTAAATCAAAAAAATTTTCATGTGAAGGCTCATTGACATTATACGGAGCTCCACGTTTCTTGGTCGTCCTAATTAACATTGTATACTGATGGGGAATGAATATTGGTCCACCCTTTTTAGCTTTTTTCATTTCTTTTTTGATCACCGAATGTACTGTGTCGCCCTCACTTTGGGTGTGTCCAACGATGAGGTAGTTGTAAGTAATACTTTTTATTTTTAAATTCGATACTGCATACAAAAATAAACAACGTTTTTCCCCCAAAGGGTAAAAAACGATATATTTCAGGTCTTGCCTAGGCTTGACCCTTATGAGATTACGTTTCTATCTTACCTCGCTATAAACACTCATCTTTTTGTTTCCTGCGTGTGTCTTAGCCAGAACGTTACTCCCACCTCCGATCTCCGACCAGAGACCGACCCATTAGAGTCCAGTGAGGGTATTCATCAGTACTTTTAAGTCGTCAAGAACTTAACGGTGGTCAAGCCTAGGCAAGACCTGAAATATATCGTTTTTTACCATTCGGGGGAAAAACATTGTTTATTTCAGGGTCTGTGCCGTCGGCTTGACCTTTATGAGAAGTGTTTGGTTTCTGACTACGCAGGATAGCGTACTGTGATAATTTATTTATACCATCATATGCTTAAATCTTAATAATTTTATTAAATTTTTAATAATCAATAAACATCAACCTAATAAACATTGAAAAACACAACTACTTATTTAACTAAGGTAACGTATTTATTAAATAAATAGGAACAAACATGTTTTCAGTCAAAATTTCTCTGCTGCCTCTATCCGAGGATGATTTGATATCTTTATAATAAAACTTAAAGAAGTTATCTTTTCCTCTCCAGTTTCCACCTTGCAAAACAAAAACTAGCGGTAAACCGTTTTTGAATTTGGAGGATGCGACTGCTGATCTTATGCTTCCTAGGGATAAACCAATATCGGCCGCAATAAAAGCTGTCTTTATCCAACTAGAAATAACTGACCTGAAAGCTGGGCTCTCGTAGTTATGAACAAATGAGTAAGTTGAGATCTAGCTTTTCTTTGACATTCGGAAACGTTAATTAATTTCTTAATCCAAAATAATGGATCACAAAACAAACCTCTCTGGATATTTGAGTAATATCCACCCAGATTGCCTATAGGAGCCATTGTCTGTTTTAGATCCGAAAACAGGCCGTAGTAAAACAGAATTATCATCTTGTTCTAAGTGATCCTTATCCATTCTTAATAATGTTAGATCATGAATCCTAAGACCTGAAACTAATAGTAGAATCAAAACCAAGCGTCGAGAAACTTGAAAAATATTGGTTTCGTCCACTGGATCGTTCTTCATCCATTCTATTAGCTTACTTACATCTCATATAAACTTCTTATCCGGGGAAGGTTTATTCAAATCTATGGCTTTCAGAATTCGTTTCACAATGGGGTTGTTAGAAATAGCTTCCCCTTATGATGGAACTGCTAATGTTGCAATTACAGACTTATGAACCTTAATAGTTAAGGAAGCTAATTTTTTTTTACTTGATATAGATAAGCAAGGTACTGAGCCACCTGACTCGGTTCTAGGTTACCAGGTAGAATGTTTTCTTCTCTAGCCCAAGAGAGCCATTGTCGCCATGGTGCTGAATACGTTTCAAGCGTTGATCTGCGCCAAGAATTCTCCAATAAACCTTTATCTTCATTTTTCCAGTCCTTCATAGCACAGACCCACCCTGTATCTTCCAGGCTTCCAATCGAAGTTCTTCCGCCCGAGATAATGGGTTGCCTGTATTCATGTCGACTAGGTGAAGACTAAGATTCTGTATTCGTAGAGGTCTGGCTATAATTCGGGATATCAGATCCTCCTTCCAAAAAACGCGCTCCCACTTCGATGCTATCAGAATGTAGGTTCCTTTGGTTGAGTTATGATGGCTTAACACTCGAGGAATCAGAGACAGATGGGGGAAACAGCCAGGCTAGGGGGAACGTCCAATTCTTGCTGAATGCATTGCTTTGCGGTCTCTGAGATCTCTTGACACATAGACTGGAACTACTTTCGACTTCATCGTGGCGAACAAATCTATCTGAGGAGTTCCCCACAAATAAAAAATTTGTCTTGTTATTGTATCGGAAAGGTGCCAGTCCGGAGCTGATTTGTTGCGGGAAACGCTATCCGCAATTTCGTTGCA